AGAGAAGAAAGGAGAAAAAGGAGGAGAAAAGGTAAGAAGATGAATTAGAAGAGTTAAGAAGTAAGTAAGACGCGATAGAAGAATGATTATATATATAGAAGAAGGAAGAGTGTTTTCCCAGTGGGGGAGGATATTTCTTTTCTTCTGCGAGGTCTTCCACTCGCACTGGGTGCTTCTGCGTATATATTGTGTGAAGTGTGAAGCGAGCCTGAAATTTGGCTCTGTTGGGGATTTTGCACTTGTTGAGAGCGAATTGTTATCACACAACAGAAGACATTGATTGTTGGGCAGAAGTGTTAAACCCCCAAGAAACGTGACAACTTTATGTAAATTAAAAAAAACAAACACAATAATCACCGCAAATATTAAGAAGTGTAACAAGATTGTTCAGTAACAAATCTGGACTTGAAAAGAGTATTGAATGATACTGGATCTGTGCCACAGTGTCTGGTATTACAAGGGAGCTCGGATCACTGGAAGTGATGCCTCTTCGAGAGCCAATCAGATCGTTAAATCGAGCTGTAAACCAAAAAAAAAAAAAACAAAGGGAAAAGCGGTACAGGAGCAGATACCAGCAAGTAAAGACTGGCACAATGTCAGGCAAATTTTCTGGGCCAGCTAGATGTAAAAACTTCTATGCGATTGTGGTGATGATAACACCATTTAACCCAAGCCATGTGTCATCACCAATCATCAATACCATCGTCAGTACGGCAGATGTGAAAACCACACGCCGTAATTGTTAGCAAGCTGCCAGCCAGCCGAAACGCGCACCGGTCCCCTTTTAACACAAGCTGCACGGGTGCTGTGACCTGTGCTCCGGGCATAGTGGGGGGGGGAGGGAGGGAGGGTTGTTGATGGAAAGACGGGCCCTGATTGGCCCGGTCCTCAGCGAGGGCGGTGACATCACACGGAGGAGAGGTCCTGTGGTGTAAAATAACATCTCCTTTTATGGGACGAGGTGGAGCGTTCCATTCTCGGAGAGAGGTGAGATTTTTTGTTCCCCTCTCTGCTCCCTCGGTGCTCCGCTCCTCCCTGTAGATGCTCTCCCTAATTGGCCTTCAAGGCGATTTTAGTAAATTAATATCTCCTTAAGGCCGCCTTGGACCGAGTTTAATTATATCTTGAATCCTTTATTTTTAAGTCACTTTTTATTTATTTTTTTATCACTTTTTGTTTTTACTTTAATTTTAAGTTTGAGGCTTCTCTTTTCCCGCTGTCTCCCTTCTTCGGTTTGTTACTTAAAGGTGTAATTATATTAACTTCTTTAAGACGCAGGGATGCATTACAGTGTTTGGGCACTCTTTACAAATGCTTCATCACTATGCTTCATTGTCTTTTTTTTAAATCATTCATGAGTTACTGTGATTAACAGATTCCTCAGCAGTTTTTACTCATAGCTGTAGATTTAAAATTGGCCCACGGCGCTGTTAGCATTGAAGACACGAGGCACCACCAGGACTGTCTGACACTCTCGAGGACAGCAGCCAGACTTTTTTTTTTTTTTTGTCCCGTCTTTCTCTCTCACGTTCACTCTTAACATTCACCCATCTCTCATACTCATCCGCCCCCCCCTGCCTCTTTTCACCTCACTCGTTCTCCACACATGCTTTAACCTCAAACAACACAAACGGCAACAAAAGCTGCTTCTCTCTCTACTAGTCTTCACTTAGCTTATGTGACTACCCCCGCTGTTTGCCGACGTGGTATCTCCCGAGAGCGGGCAGTCACCTCCCCTCCCTAAGTCAGATTCGTCTCCACTCCAAGGAAATACACTGTACCTTCGAGTCGAGTAAAGAAACTACAGTCTTCCACACTTTTCCAGCTGGAGGCCCACAGATACATTTTAAGGGGGGAAAAAACAGCCAGGTTGTCTTCACTAGAGGAGGTTGACGTTGAAATATAGGCTGACAAGTCATGAGGAGTATACTTCTGAATCCCTGGGAGATCCTCTGAACCCTCCTTCCTCCTCCTTCCAATGTTTCAGTGGTTGGGGCCATGGCCTCTCAGTCAGGGTAAGACATGCACCGCTTAGTTGGCTGCTTTACTTATTTCTCTTGGTTTCTGGGAACAATAAAGCCCCCCTAACTTAATTTTTCACTGTGTTGTACAAGCCACGCTAAAATGTTTTTTGGATGCCCTTACATAATGGCTGTGTCACAGAAGCCCAGTCCTGTATTCATGGTGCTCAGATGACCATCAGTTCTTCCCTTTTTCTTTTCTTTTTCTTTTTTTTTTGGGGGGGGGGGATTGTGTTGAAGACGTGGCCTTGCTGTTATGTTGTGAGTTAGATAGAGACAGATGAGCTGATTAATTTGGGTACAGAGTGAACTGCCTTTTCAGATCTGCAGACTTTGACCTTTTCCGTCTGGCACACTGTTGAATGATTACAATAAACATAGCTGGGCATTAGACTCGGATGATAATACATGTCATTTAAACTCGTGTTGTGTAAGAAGTGATTCTCTTAGGCTTGTTTCCTGCCTACCTTACTATGACGGCTGACCGGCTCCGTATGGCCTTTTAAATGCAGGCTTGAACAAAAATTCAAACCGAGGCTGTTTTTATGATCCTAACATTTGCTTTTCAAATCACTAAAATGCAATTGCGTGTCCTGAGTGTTTCCCAAAACTGAGCTGACAGCAGGATATGGCACTAGTGTTTTTTTTTTCTTCCCAGAAGGCTACATGTGATTGAGTCCTGTCTTATTTGTACAGCCCACAATCTTTGTTACTGCTCCCCAAAAGAAATAAGCAATACGCTCAATCCCCCTTAACCGCTGAGGGGAAATCCCCCCATAGTTAGCTCAACACTCAACTTGAGAGTAAGTTGGTGATGCTGTGTGGCATGTAGCAATAGTTGATACTGGGGATTCCTGTGACTGCGACTTGGGGACATCCCTGCCACCGTGCTGTAGCAGCAGCAGCAGCAGCAGTAGTTACTCATGCCAGACCCCTTGCTCTCGTTTGTGACACTAAGCCACTCGTGCATGGGCTCGCTTCCGTCCACCGTATTGTAAACAGTACACACGTGTGTCGACACATGGCCAGCAATGTAGACGGACGTGCTGTTGGGTCAGTGTTTTTCAGGAATCAGTCAGTTCAAATGGAGAGAGCTAGTGGATAGGCGGATTTTCGCCGCGCTCACAAGGCTGGTCAACACAAAATGTCTTCAGATACATCTGCAGGCGGTGTCCGTGTGTCTGCTGTGGATGCATGTTAGCGCTCCAGCTTTTGAGTTTTGGGAAAAGTGGTGAAAAAGTTGGTTTTGAGCCCTGTACTGTAACTGTCATGCACCGTGATGTAAACATATGCCTGGTTTTCCTGTAGAATAGAATATAATTATACATGACTTTACTTTGTTTTCATATCATGATATCAGATAGATAGATAGATAGATAGATAGGCATTAGGTCTTGTGGGAACGTTTTATTATTTATATAAAGGCATTGATGAACTTGGGGCAGGTCTAAGGTCAATTCAAAAACAGGTTGAGCTCAGAAGTTTGAGCTATATTCACACAGTCACATCATCAGCATGAGTTCTTCACATTCTGTCTTCCATTCGGGTACTTGGCGTACTAACTTATTTATTCAGAACCAGAAAGCACACTTTGATTATTATTTCATTTCTTTCATAAAGAGGACTGCAGTGATCTTTGAAAAACAACACGAGATGAGGCCTATGTTTAGCCTTTCACGTTAACCAAGATCGATTCCTAGAGGAAGAGACGGAGGAACTTGTCAACAAAGTTTTTCTCATGTTGGAAAAGCACAAAAGTAAAATGTGGGCCTTTTTTAAAGTGAACCTTTACTCCAGTATCACTAACACCAGTCACAAACATTCGATCCCCTGTCTTGTGATTGTATTTGTGACTGGGTGCGACCCCCTGTTCTACTAATAGAGACAGAGAGATGAGGTGAACACGAGCAGTGTTTACAGAGGACGCTGTGCCAGAGGCCTTTGATCATTTAGCACTGCGCTAAGTGCGGCCCATTCACACTTTTCAGCCCCACTCCAAAGCTGACAATCGACAGGCTCATCTGCATGTTAAAGTAGTACCAGCGCACTGAATTCACCCACGACGATTTGCGCTGATCATATTTGTTCAGTTATGTGTCGAACCGGTGGAGATGTAGAGCGCAGCTTTATTTCCAGGGCATGAAATTGGGGTTGTCTTAAACCACAGACCACATTTATAGCACGAGAGACCTTTCGAATGATAGTTGGGACTGGGCTGCGTGGTAGAGCGGCCAAAATAACATCAAAGTGAATCTACCAGAACACAGCTGCAGTAAATCTCCCGCTCTGTTCGCTGTAGTGGACAGTCCGTAGGTGGTCGGCGCTCAGTTGTAGCAAGTTTGTTATTGTGTATTTTTACTCTTAACGCTGTCTGTTGTTGAGCTTTTGACTATTTATAGTATAAGCTCGGTTCTTGGCTGTGCTGTAAGTCAAATAAAGCCCAGAGGTGATAACAGTGGTGTGCTGATAGATGTTTGGATGATGGATAACCTAAACAAGGTTTTCTTCTTTTCCTTACGCCTCTGCTGATAAAGCGGGTGTTAATGGTGTGTCAGACAGCTCACCGGGGTTATGGTCTCAGTTGCTTCCTTAGCCATACTGTGTAAATCACGCTGCCTGTTGAGCGATGACTCAAGTTGGGTGTTGCTGATGATGTAAAGCAGGCGCGGGTTGCGTAAAATAATGTTAGTTGGAAGATTACTATTTAGGCTTACTGGTGAGCTTACAGATAACGAGTCAGAAGTTGTAAAAAGCAAGCGCTGGCAAGAGTTAGTTTACAACATAATTAGATGATTGATAGTCCTGATCAGTTTAAAGCAAGAGCAGTTTAAATAATTTCCCGGAAAACTCTTATAGTCTCAAATATGAAGCCTACTTTGTCCACCTTTCACGTCTCATTTTACTTCCCTTGTGTTTTTTGGCACTTGTGTTTTTTCCTGTTCTGAAATCCGTTTCCCATATGCTTTTTTTCATCTTTTCAGTCACACATAGTAAAGTTTATAATCTAGGAGGAGGCCGTGTGCTGCCTAATCACACTCTGTCAACAGCCCTAAAATCATTGTCACTGACGGAGCCTGAAGCTGTCGTCTTAACCCGGGAGGTGACACCCCTGGCTGATGATTTGCTTGTTTCTAGTTTAAAAGCTCTAGTACTTTCTGTCAACCAAGGTGCGTCACGGACAGAAGTCTCCCTTTGTCCGATTGGCTGTTCTTAATGAACACACCCTTGTCCCGTCCAAATGCCCAAAGTCTCCAGTGTAAAGTCCTTTTGTTAACAGATCTGCGTTTACTCCTCTGGTAGCGTACACAGTTTGATTCCATATTCATGTTTTCCCCTGGTGTGAATTCATACATCCACTTACGAGGTCTCTGTCCTCAAATAGCTCTCTGCTTTTCTGTTTGCACTGCACACATTATGCTCCGAAGGACAGTGAGGGCAGAGGCCTGTGTTTGGGTAACAGTTATGGCTTCAAGCTACAGTTTACTAGCAGTCGGTTATTATTTAATCCTAGTTTGTTTCATCTCCGTGCTTTTCCTGGGAAGACTTGCATATTCTTTTCATGTGGCGTTAGCGAGTTCCAGTACGCTCGTGCTGTTTACTCTTAAAAACCATAAACCTTTCAGTTTGAATCCTATATTTGGTGAGCAAACGATCATACACTTTGTAATAAATAAACATCCCCAATGTATGATGAGATTGAAAATTGCCATTAGTAGTTTCAGCTGGGATACTCGGCCATCTGTACAAGGAGATTATATTGCAGCAGAAGTAGGCTACTGCACATTGTCTAGACTAGCCTAAGCCTATTAGGGACTACTTTCTCCACAGGTTATCTCTATGCTCCACTCTGTTCATGATGTGTGAGCTTTTACTAATGATGGTCCGATTTGTGCTGTACCCAAAAAAATGGACTCAAAGTAAGAGAACAGACGATGGCAGCCTTGGCTTTATGATCTGTTGTGAATAGTTGGAAACTTGAACCAGCTGGTATTTATCTAGGAACCGAGAAATTAGCGCAGGAAACAAAACGGAAGAGCCAATGTTGTTTAGTTTCGTCACTGTTGACCAAGAATATGTTTTTTTTTTTTTCTTTTCTCGAAAGGTGTTTCTTTCATGAACATCTCATCTCTTATAATACTCCTTCTTTTATAGGCATCCCTGCAAAGCCATGAGATAAGAAGTCTGTTTACTGTCTCTCCTCAGCGTGTTCTTATGTTGACTTGTTGTTCTGTTTGTGTTATTAGCAACATGAACCGTGAGGACCGGAATGTGCTCCGAATGAAAGAAAGAGAAAGGAGAAATCAAGAAATCCAGCAGGGAGGAGGAGGAGAGGCCTTTCCAGCGAATTCCCCTCTCTTTCCTGAACCCTACAAAGTGGTAAATTTTGTTTACCTCACATTCAGTTTTGACATGTAATTGATTAGTCAGTTTAGAGGAGTTTGTAACAGTGACAGGAAATGAAAACTGCACACACCACCACGAGCATTCATGTCATTATAGTTCTCTCCTCATACATTTTTTTTTGAAACATCACAGGTATGCCTTTGCTTTTCTTGTTGCTGCTTTGTTAAACTGCTAAGAGGAATGTTTAGCTCCAGGCTCCTATAGCAGAAGGTGGCATTTGTTTGACTTTATTCATACATTGTCTCAGTCAGAAAGAACCTTGTTAGCTTTAAGTCGATTAAATTTTTTTGTTGTTCTCAAGAAAATCCTACATTTGATTTAGGCTTGAGAGAGTACATTTTGTTGATGCCTTATTATTGGAAAAAGAAGAAATCGTGTTTTTCTTTTTCACAATGACCTTCAGGAGCCTGCAGTCTTGGTTTTGTTTACAGTTTGTGAGATGAAAGCTAAACAGGGCAAACTCAAGATATTCTTTAATACCCATGCGGGAGCTGGATTTATGCGACATGTCTGAACAGGCTCCACTGACAATGGCGGTCCTTTTTATGATCTCACGGACATTTTAAGATGTAATTGGCTGATCTGTTTCCAAAGCAGCATGTGGTTATGTAACTCTTAGGTTTTTTAAAAACAATATTAGATGATTTTTCCAAACATTTCTTTCCAACAGTTGTCAAACCTCTGCTAAAAAAGAGTCAGCTGAATTGACAACACCTGTCTTCAGTTAGCCTGTTTTTATAGAGCAACTGAAGAAGGTAAACATACGAACACACCAGCCTCCCTCCCTCCCTCCCTCCCTCCCATGTCTTCCTCCTCCTGCTCAAAGACACACATAGATGTAGGCCAGCCAGCTCCCGCTCGGTCAGTGTAATTGTAAAGAGGATTTGAGTTCTCTGTACTGGTCTAATCTTTGCCACTAACCAGATTTGAGCAGAGGTAAGTGGCTCCTCTCCTTAGCTAGAGCTAGCCATCAAAGAGGCAGCGAGGAATGTGTCCTGACAGGTTGGGAATAAAAAAAAAGGGTACCAGAGGTGAGCGATGAGTGCAGGCCTGTGTGTGTGTGTGTGTGTGTGTGTGTGTTTTGGACCACAACAAAGTGAGACTGACTTTGAAGGAGGAAAAGTCCTTGACCTTTGCACAGGAAAGTGGCATTTGCAGAAAACAATTTGATTGTGCACGTTCTTCTGTCTTCAGAACTATTTTTAAGCAACGTGGGGTGACATGCTGTGCTATAGTACAAAGAAAATGCGGAAAAAGCCAACTGTTTAAGTCACAGGCTTTTCTTTGCTTTGTATCTCTCGTCTCCTGCTTGTCTAAGTCTTACGTAAGCTTCAGTTGGACTTTTCTCTCTCCTCCTCCCCCCCGTCATGCTCCAGTAAGTGGAAGTTTACTGTGCTCTGCATTAAAGGCCATGTGTGCACGCAGCTGCAGCTGTGGCCTCCCAGATGTAGACCAGCAAAGCAGTAACATTTTTATGGTGCAGGGTTCACGCACTTGTAATTCAGCTGCACACAATGAATAGCACAGAAATGATCTGTTGAAAATTCTAGCCGGTGATGCAGTACATACACACGGTATATTAAAACATATTCTTCTATATCATGGGTCCCTTGAATGTGATTATTAAGCAGCCATTTTTAACCAAACTGTGCCAAGATCTAACTAGCCCCAGAAACTAAGCAAAGGGCATAACTCAAGAAATCAAAATTCCATCAAGCACATTCATGTTTGCATTTGTAAGAACCACAAAGCTGAGGTAAATTAGACCGGTCTCAGATGAAATGATATCTCAGCTTGTAGTTTTTGTGCATGCGAAAAAGGTTAGCGGAGGTAATTTGGAAGAGATTGCAATCAGTGTTTTGTTCCTTGTAATTTACTGTTCTGAAAGTGCGATGTTTGAAGTGATGTTGGAAAGGATAGGGGACTTTTTGTTGGGCAGGAAACAAAACTTAAACAAGGTCCCTCCGGTCAGCATGGAGGTAAAGTTCCTGAGTTCTTAAGCAGGTTGTTGAGTTATCTTGAAGGCCTGTTGAAAAAGTTTTGAGAAAGATATAATGTGAGAGATAATCCTTTTTACAGATGTACCATACACTATGTGCAGCACAATATATGTATTCTATTACTATAATTATTACTATAAGACGATGTTCACAGTACAACTGCAAATAAAAACAGCCAGCAATCAATGAGTTTGAGAACAATGAGACAAACTGTTTGTAATTTACCTCAAGCACCTTTTTTATCCATCATTGTTTTTAGCATTATCAGCCAACATCTGTGCCAGTATCAATAAGTGTGACATATCAGTCTTTTGAAGTACTGGTATTTAAAAAAGAGAAAAGAAAGTAGACGGTATTTCTGTTCCACTAAAGATCAAAAGCAGTCATAATAAAGCACGTCATTTATGCTTGTACTACAAAGTGAAACCAACCCCCCATAAGAAACACAGCGACGCTACACTTCCCCAGCTACACACGTGTGCGCTTGGCCGTGCAGGCATGAGGTAGGGGAGTGCATGTTATGACCAAGCTAGTTACATTTCCTGCTACAGATAACGGCTTGTGTTTCCTCACCCTCCGTGTGAATCTGTCAAGAAAAATTAGAGGTCTGAGGCTGCATGTGAAACTGGATATTCCGTATAGTCTTCTGTCACGGGCTGATTGCAAGCATGTCTGCTGGGATCCGTGGCCTCAGAGTGATTGATTAACCTCTGTGTTGTAACTACTGGTAGGCTCTTATCTGTGTTCATAGATTGGTGTGGACTGATCTGGGCTCCGAGTTTGAACAATCCAACTGTGTGATTGGCTGATTACGCCCCTCTGTGTTCAATCGATTATTTTCTCAATGTTCAGTGAATTATTATAAATGTAAGTGAAGGAGTGATACATTTTCTCTCCACTCAGTGTTTTTGAGTTTTTGATGGAAAGCAATTAACCCAAGTGTTGAACCTGTGCCCATAATGACTGTTTTCTCTGCCCCCTCTTCCCTCCTCTCTACTTTCCCTCTTCATTTATCTCTCTTGTATTTTCTTCCATCTCTTCTTTCTCTATGGCTGTCTTTTTTTTTTCCTTTTTTTTTTCCTTCATCATCACACTGTCTTCTTCCCCACCTCTTTCTCCCCCATTCGCTGCTTCTCTCTTCAGTCCAGCAAGGAAGATAAACTGTCCAGCCGTATTCAGAGCATGCTGGGCAATTACGACGAGATGAAAGAGCCGATCGGTGACACACTTCCAAAGCTTGGCGGAAAACCTTCTAACAGCTCATCTTCCTCTGAGGATAAATCGGGCCCACCTTTGTTTGGCGGGGACCAGCGTGGCGTCGGTAGCGGTGGCACAGGCCAGAGCAGTAAGTGGACTCCTGTCGGCCCCGCAGCAGGTGGATCTTCATCCCAGTCCCAGAAACGCTCAGGACTAGGCAGCCAGAGGGGCAACGGAGGCAGTAGCGGCAGCAGCAGCAGTAGCCAAAGACACGGAGGGGAGGTCCGGGAAAAGAAGTCAAGTAAACACAGTGGAGAGCACTCAAAGTCACACACATCGAGTCCGGCCAAGGGCTCTCTGAGTTCCTCCAGCAGCAACAGCCACTTGCGGAGCTCCTTGTCTGCTGAACAGCATCACAGCAAGGAGCGCTACCGCTCCAAGTCCCCAAGAGACAGAGAGGCAAACTGGGACTCGCCCTCGCGGGTTCACACCTCCTTCCCCACTGGACAGCACTCGAGTCAGGCCTTTCCCCCATCTCTCATGTCCAAACCCGGCTCCATGCAGCAGAAGCCCACAGCGTATGTGCGGCCTATGGACGGCCAGGAAACGGCAGAACCCAAGAGCGCACAAGCAGAAAGCTACAGTGGACAGTCGCACAGCAGCACCATGGGAGAGATGAAGTCCAATAGCAAGGCCTCACTTTCTAAACTCAAGATCCCCTCACAGCCTGTAGAGGTGAGGCTTGTCTACATCTTTCTAGTTTCAATTTATTCTGAACTGCAGCTTAAGTACACTACTCACATAAAGGGCTTCCCGCGTATTTATGCGTCACTTAAGATATTCTATAGTAGTGGGTGTTGCATGTATAATTTATATAGAATGGCAGAGCTGTGTTTTATGTCTGGACCATATATTTATAATGATATAATAACTGGAATAAATTACCTCACACTAGTTACACTTGGTCTCCTAGGTCTCATAAAATGCCTATACAGTGACTCACGCTACTGAAAATGGACGCTCACCTGTTGCATCACGTTATTTATGAACGTGTTAAACTTGATGTTTCTGTCTTTAGGGATCCGGTGACGCCAACTGTGTCGATGAGATTCTGAAGGTATCTATATCGTTATATTTTGCTGCAAACTCCCTCTCCCAGGGCTAAACTCAGTGTTGAGGGAAAAAGCCTACTGACTCCCTGCGTGTGTGTGTTTTTTCTTACTTTCTTTCAGGAAATGACTCAGTCGTGGCCCTCTCCGCTGACAGCCATCCACACCCCCTGCAAAACTGAGCCCTCCAAGTTTCCATTCCCCACCAAGGTCAGCATTGCACCAGTCCCTGCGTTTACGGTTTGATTCATATGATTTTCATGATGAATTAATAAGACTCTTTATTACTTTGAATAACACTGTGTGTTACCCATCCAGAGAAATGTTGTTTGGTCAATGCCTGATTGGAACTGTAAAGTGATGCAACTTACTATTGATAAATATTTAGTACTTGGTGCTTGCATGTAGATATAAATAATAATATAAATCCTTTTATAGTGATTCATTCACAACACATATGACAGGGATGAAAAACGCCCAAAATGGATTCATGAAAATAACTATTTCTCTCTAATAATATCTTCTTTTGTTTTTTTTTAACCACAGGATCCTCACCCTTTTCCAAGTGGACACAGTGAGTATCACACATTTCAAACCTGAACACACACTATATTTACAAAAGAATTATGTATGTATATATTTTTGACATGCATGTTTACATATACTTATTGCTCATGAGTCTTGTTTGTGGGTTTTTAGAACGAGGCAGTTCTTCCAAGAGCTCCAGCAGCCACCAGCCCAAAGCTTGCGATGATCAGCCAACGTAAGTGCTTCATCCTTTCCTCTCTTCGTCCTTTCTCGTCTTGAGCCCATGTTTGTAGTTTTCCCAGTATTGATTGAGAGAGCACAATTCTAAAACAAATATTTATGAGTTTAGAAACCTTAAGGAACCAGACATGCATAGATGGCCTCAGTTATGTAGAGCCAGCAGCCCCAAAAACAAAGATTGAATTTAGTTTCATTCCTGTATCTCAGTAGGCTGGAAGAAGACCTGAAGCTAAGCAGCAGTGAGGACAGTGATGTAGAACAGGACTCTGCCAAGAATGCCTCAAGGAACACATCAGCAAGGTAAAGCACAAAGAATAGTGAATGTACCTTTTTGTGAAATTTGAATTCTGACGCTGACTCCAGCTTGACTTTGGCTTGTATTTTATATTCAAAGGCCTTCGTTATATTCGTTATATGTTCCTTATTTTGAAAGAGATGTTGGTAACTTTCGTCTTCCTATTTGTGTCATTTTGGATTTATAATGTAATCATCACCTCATTGCCACAGTCTGAAGTGAAATTTAGAATTAAAAGATAGTGCTTTCACAGGTCAACTGGATTGCATTATTTTTCTGGTCATTGATTGCATTTCAAATAATTAATCAGCTTATGTTTTGTGTGCATCAACCATTGAACACATTATGTCCATACCTCTCCTAAAGCCAACAGTAGGAGTTATCAGCGACCATGACCAAGGCAAATTCCCAATTCTGGAAAAACACAACTGAAAAATGTGCAAATTACAAATCCAGCATGGATCCATTTGGAAAAATATGAGGTGTATGTAGTGGTTACGAATGTGTACTTGAAATTGTAGACAAGAGTATGTATGTATGTATGCTTCAATATATAAAACATGACTGAAAATGTATCTACCCCCCCATTATAACGCTGTTTGACTCTCTCCTGTAACAACAGCAATAACAGTGAAGGAGCAGAGCAATCAAGAGATGACTCAAGCAGCCACAGTGGCTCCGAGAGCAGCTCAGGCTCTGACAGCGAGAGCGAAAGCAGCACGACAGACAGTGAAGCTAATGAGCACCCACGGCCCGCCTCTCCTGAAGTAATCATTTTAAAATAACTTTGTACAATTCTGTAGTAGTAGTTTAATGATTATTTCTTACTTTATCAACTATTATTTTCATTTGCACTAACTGTTTGTAGCTCTGTCCATCCTTATTTTGGGTTATTAATTACCAGACATTCTAGCCAAAATTGCTTTTTTTTTCTTCATTAAAGAATATTTGACTAGGTTTCATACATAATCATCTTTTTGTAAGATAATTCCTCACATCTGCGTGTTCTCCTGCTCCCCTTCAGCCTGAACAACCCATGGCCAACAAGTGGCAGCTGGACAACTGGTTCAAGAAGGCCAAGCAGTTCTCACCAGCTTCCCCAGTGGACAATAATGTTCCAACAAAGTGCAAGAAAGAGGGCAGAGATAACGGCTCCGGCCGTGGCTATGGCAGCCAAGGCGGGGGGTCAAAAGACTCTACAGCACCTACCCCAAGCAGGGACCTACGGGCAGCGCAAAAGGGTGCAGAGGGTGGCCGTGGCCGGCAAAAATCCCCCGCCCAGAGCGAGGGTGGCACTAATCCCAGAAGGAGTGTGGGTAAAAAACAACCTAAGAAGTCTGAGAAGCCCCCAGTGGTGGAGGAACCCAAAGGAGGTCTGAGAGTGGAGAGTGAACCGGCTCCAGAGATACCTCCTCACCGGCCCAAAGCTGCTACTAAAGGTTCCCGTAAACCAAGCATCAAAAAAGAGCCTAAATCCTCTCCGAGGCCCACTGCGGCCGCCGTCACCACCACCGCAGATAAACGCAAGGCCAAGGTAGCCACCAAGACTCCCCAGCAGAAGTCTCGCGAGTTTGTTGACACGGACTCTTCGTCGTCGGACTCCGAGGGGAATGACAGCATCCCATCCTCGTCGCAGACACCCAAGTACACAGAGAGTATCAGGACCCCCGTGTGTGTGTTCTCTCCAATGGAAGAGAAAGAGCTGTTGTCTCCGCTCAGCGATCCTGAGGAGCGCTACCCTGCGAGACCGACTCAGCAGCAGGTTTTACTAGTGAAGATAGGTACGTCGAAGCGGCTCATAAGGCTACAAATTGACACTTCATTCTGTGCGCTTGTTTTACACGTGTTGAGCTGGACTACACACTCCTGAAGCTTTTTCTTTACTTTGGACCAAATGAAACCCTTCCCTTTCCTTCCCATTTCCTCTAGATCTCAGCTTGCTGTCTAGAATCCCAGGGCGGCCCTACAAAGAGCCTGCGGAGATAAAAGTGGAGAGAGATGACTCTCTAGACAGGGACAGCAAAGACTTCAGCAAACAGAGCTCTGAGAAGAGCTCTAGTAAGGCCAAGAGGAAACACAAGGTATGGGACTCGATAGAGCAAATGTCTGTCTGTGTTCTCTGTGGTGTTGATTATAATCTTGTTAAATTTAATATTGTTAATCTCCCCACACACAAAATATATTTTTTAAAGGGTTATGTTTTCAGTATGATCTTGCATTGAAAATTACTATCTATTTGGAGCTTTTTTATCACTGTCATTTGGGAAGTCATAATTATTCTATTTTAGGAAGCCTTCCAACAGAATATTGTATCTCTTAAAATAACCAGATTTCCATTAAAACAAGAAAATGCCTTTGAGCCAAGAAACAACTGATTCAGTTTTTGGTGGAGATCCAGATCTGGAATTTCTTCCATTAGGTGCATTTTAAAAAAAAAGAATCATAGCTGTGAAACTTCCAGCCAGGATTTTACCATCTAAGCGATATCCTAAGGTGTAATAGTGAGTAGGAAAATTGGCAGAAGGTTTGTGCTGTGCTTGGTTGCAAATTACTTCAAATCACCTTCTACAGAGGCATGCACACACCAATAAATCCTTTAATGTGTCTTTGCTTTTAATTTCCTGCGATCTTTTTGTCTTTTAGAACGACGAAGAAGGCACCAAGCCAGAGAGCAAGCGGTGCAAGCTGGAGGAGAAGTCCCTATCTCATCATAAAAACAGCAGTAAAGAGTGTGTATTCTTTCTTTTCCTTCCTGATTATCATTCACAGTAAGCCCTCTGCACACCAGGAACACTTGGCACACTTGGTCTGAAAGTAGTACTTCGTTTTGTTACAGGCAAAATTTAAGCTTGCCAGATGTCTTAATCTCTGTTTTTACAATACAAAAAGATATAAACCATATAAACTCTTAACGAGCAAACTACAATTGAAGTGTAAAAGCTCAGTGATATGGCTTATTTATTACATTGGAACCTCTTTGAGATGCACCTGTTAACCTTTTATTTTAATAACCTGTTCTTATTGCTGAATTACCTGGAATGTTTCATCTTTGAGGGTTAATATTTTGTGAAGTGGAGTACACTACTGCCACAAAACTGGGCAGTTTAAATAATAAAAAGATATTTATTACAATAACGATCAATGTCCCACCAGGTCTAAGAGGTCTTTGGAGAAGAAAGAGGAGCCAGTCCCCTCTCCCTCCATGTCAGGTCTTCAGCGGACACCCAAGGTCGAGCATCTGAGTCGGAAGAGGACAGTCAGCCAGTCCTCCACCTCTCTGTCCAGCGGGACAGGAAGTGGAAAGGAGGGAAGCCACAGCACCAAGGGCAACTCCACCTCCAAACACAGAAAAGGAGAGGACAAGGGACGCAGCACACGCGATGGCAAGGTGGGTGCGAGTAACCTTATCGGCGGGCATTTGCGGCCTGTGTGAATACCTGGCAGGCATTCTGGGTACTGGGAAGTGTGCGTGCAATCTTTCATCATGTTTGCCAATTGTGCAGTGTTCCCCCCCGGGGAATTTGAATAACGAAGCAAGCATGGGAAAAAAAAAAAAAAGAGAAAAAAAAGTTGTTGCTGTGGGAAGAAGGGCAGGGGTGGAGAACATAGCCAGATGGGTTTTAATATCAGTGTGTACTTCATGTAGGTTTTGCATATTTTTCAATATGCTTTGAGTCACTAATGAGTCGTGTATTTATTTGGGTCTATATATTGTATATGCCCAGTATCCATAGAGCTCCTCCACTCCCTCAATCCCACCCTTTTCTTTTATTTTATCCTCCACTTCAAACACCAGAGCCCCCTTTTTTTTTCCCCCTGAAACTTTATTCCCTCTCGCTTGCTGTCTCTGCAGGAGAAATCCTCAAAAGGCTGTGATAACCAGCTGGTTGTGCCGCCGCTCTCCACGGACGGCTCCAAGTCTCAGAGATCCAAGCTGGTGTTTGAGGACAGGTAAGAGGAGCTCTTTCCACTGTGGATAACCCCTCAGCAGGATATGCAGAAAGAACTGCTGTGGGGATCTACGGTTGCCTTTGATGCATAAAGCTGTAGGAGGTTGGGGAGGTCATGAATAGATGCGCCTGCATGCAGGAGAGGTGACGTTAATTTCCATTTTAAAAGGCTCTCTGTTGGGAGTCTCTGTCCTTTTTCATACAGAGGCGAAGAAACAACACAGTCTTGCTTCTTATTTTTCGGGCTTTTGTTTCAGGGTTTGACTTAATGGAAGATTAAGTATATTGTTTTTATGTGTCATTTCCAGGTTCTGTGCTTAGAGAAAATGTATAGAAACCGAGCCATGACAGTGTTGTATGAATGTTTCTGTTAAATGTTTGGGCTTTATTTTATTTTTTTAAACAGCTCACAGAAATAATTTAAATTTGTTTGACCTGTTAACAATTTTGTTTCAGGGTCCATTCAGCAGATCACTACTTACAAGAGGCCAAGAAGCTTAAACACAATGCAGATGCACTGGTAAGAGCGAGAGCCTAATGACTATTTACATATGAAATTGAGAACTCGGTGTCGGTTGCTGCATGCAAAGCAGTGAGAGGATTGTTAAACAACAAGGTCTAGACCTTAATGTAAAACAACATCCTGGGGCAGGATTTTGCAGAGAGCTTAATGCTAAATACTGGAACACATTTTTCAACATATTTCCTATATTTATTTATATGTGATTGTTTGGTATTTTTTTGCATTGACTGGGAAATTTCCAAAGCCCTTTTATTTTTTATTTATTTTATTTTTTTTCTCTGCGGTGTCTCAGCTTTTAAGCATGACGTCCAAAAAACAAAACATAAATGCTTTTGTTAGCAGGTCGCTGAAAGTTGAACAGGTGGTATTATTTAACTGCAGGTCTATCGGTTACTTACCTGGGGCTTATGAGACACCTGACTCTGCTGCAAATATCAAATTAAACCTCATGTGAAAAGCATTTAGTCCTCTACTGCTGTGACCATTTGAGAAGGAATTACACTATTGTATTGGTACATGCTCGCTCGCTCACTCAGGATGCATCGCTGTTAGTGATTTTATTTTCGCTTTGTTCCTCCTCGTACAGTTGGACCGTTTTGAGAAGGCCGTTTACTACCTGGACGCCGTGGTGTCTTTCATTGAATGTGGTAATGCCCTGGAGAAGAGCGCCCAAGAGGCCAAGTCTCCCTTCCCCATGTATGCTGAAACGGTGGAGCTTATCAAGTAAGGACAAACCTAAATGCTTTCCTCACTCTCATAGAATTTAAACGGCAACTCCATCGATTTTACACATCAAAGTTTGTTGTTGTTGTTGTTGTCTGTCTACTACTTAAGGCGTGGGATTAATTAGTTGAGGCTAGCAGCTCAAGGCTACTAGCACAACAAACCCAAATCTCCAAATGAACTGTTTCTATAATGACTTTTAACAGCTGGTTCTTTTAGAAACTAAACCATTTGTTCTGTCTGTACGTTCAGATACACTATGAAGTTAAAAAGCTACATGGCCCCAGATGCTACTTCTGCAGACAAGAGGCTAGCTGTGCTTTGGTAAGTACTCTTCACTGACATCTGGTGATCCTGTCTAACTCAAAATTCTCCAAATCCTGGATATTTGATTAAGGAGACTCGTGTAATTGCACATATCTCTGGCCATTGCTGTCTTCTTTGCAAGTTCTAGATCAATTTTAACAAATTCTTCTTTTCAGCCTACGATGCCAGTCCCTCCTCTACTTGCGGTTATTCAAGCTGAGGAAAGAGAGCGCACTAAAATACTCTAAAACACTCACTGAACACCTAAAGGTAAGTTTTTTTTGTTTCTTAGAAGCTGAAATCTAGTTTTGCTTGGCAACCCTTCAAAACCAAAAGGAACACAATACAAATTCCATGTATGTATGTTTTTTTTTCTGTGAATGTGTAACCTGCTTCCTCTCTGTGTACATAATGTTCTTCCCCTCGTTTTTGTTTGACAGAATTCTCTGAGTAACACCCAGGCTCCCTCTCCTGGAATGGGAAAGTAAGTCATGTCCTCTTTTGCTGTTTGGAGACTAAAAGCAATTGTAAAGGAAGACATGTGTTTCCTATATAAGTACTGAATGTTGAGAAAGAGTGTGACTAATTACTTTAAAGGTTAAAAGTTTAAGATTTTCCCATAAAGTCAAGAAAACAATTGGAAATACAGTAGTTTTTTTTTCCTTTTTTTTTTTTCTTCTTCAGAGCCTGTGCAGATACTTGTTGACTCTTACCTATTTTTACGCCTTGTTCCGAAGAATCGTTTGAAGCCACTTAGTCATACTGAGTCATACTCTTAATACTGATATGGATGATGATTTTCAGTCAGTGCCTATTGTTCTTAACTGTCATGCGGTCACAAGAGTTTTGTTTGACTTAAAATAGGCCTGTGCAATACGAGGAAAATCATATCAAACGTGCAATAACGTGTGCAATGATGATATGACTTGCGATAAGTAAACAGATATTGACGGTGCGTGTAAGCCAAATACTTCCGATACAGTTTTAGCTTGTTAACAGCGTTATTTCCTGAGCTAGTGCGCTGTGCTTGCGTAACGTTAAAATATTGTTCATTGCGCGTTAATATCACGATGACAATGAAAATAGGATTTATCGGTCAGCCCCGACTACACTCTCATTACTGTCTGCTTGTTTCTGTTTCCTAACGCAGCAAGGCAGCGGGCATGCCGTCTCCAGTGTCTCCCAAACTGTCGCCAGGCACGGCCGGTGGCTACTCGTCGGTCAGCAGCAGCAGCAGCGCCAGCTCGTCCGTGACCATCCCTCAGCGTATCCACCAGATGGCCGCCAGCTACGTTCAGGTCACCTCCAACTTCCTGTACGCCACTGAGGTTTGGGACCAGGCTGAGCAGCTATCCAAGGAGCAGAAGGGTAAACTACTTCAGAAAATAGGTGTTACTTTATTTTTCAATATTGCTACTTAGATAGTTAGGTAGTCCCTCAAACATTTTAGGATTTTAGCCTTTTGGAGATATAGCTTAAGCTAGGTATTACACATACATAAAAAGGCAGTAAGTGTCTTTTAAGCTAATGATGTGTGTTTTATTTTCCCAGAATTCTTCTTGGAGTTGGACAAGGTGATGGGTCCTCTGATCTTCAACACCAGCAGCATGACAGAACTGGTGCGTTACACACGGCAGGGCCTCCACTGGCTGCGCCTGGACGCAAAGCTCATTCCCTAGCGAGGACTCGCTCCCTGCACGCTGCTTCTACACACACACACACACACATATACACACACCTCAGCCTCTGGTGTTCAGCAACATGTGCTCAAAGACACACAAGCATGCCCTCACAGACAAACACATACAATAATGTACTGTATACACACACACACACACAGTCCACCTCTGGTCCTCCATTTACACACACAGACACACACACACACGTGATGAACTTCTCAGACATATCTTCAACACTGTGTCCATTTCCTACACCAGCTTGCCAAAAACACTGAGCAATTTAGAGCATCTCACACCGTCGACAGCACCACACAGGGAGAAGCATCGAAACTGCAGCACAGGAACAAAACAAAAAAAAGCTTATCGCCACGCTTCATATATCAGCATTCTTACAAAATCTTCAAAGGCCATGTTTTTATCTATTTGGCATGGAAGCGCTGGGTGAATTATTTGTTATGTATATGCTTAAAAATGGGGTTTGGTTTTTAGGCTACTTTGGCTTAACTTTTTATTTGACTTTATTTCACCGAAGTACCTCCCATAAACACCAAAGGTGCTTTAAAATGAAGGTTTCTCTTTATCATTTGTGTGCCTTGTATGTGACCTACAGGAAAACAAACAGCCACCCATCATATCTGAATACATTGTTTTTATTTTACCTCTCTTTTGCTCATTTAAACATTTAGCAGTTAATGGAAGCTGGCAACGATTATGTTTTTTTATTGCAAAACCTTTTGGTTTTTAGTAAAGTCCTGTCCACGCATCTGGCATTTTAGAGCAAAAAGATGGTGTTGGTCACAAATTAAGATACCTTACACCATCTTGATTTATCTGCCCTTCAAAGTCTCTTGGCACTGAAGGTTAATCTTGGAGCATGCCCACAAGATTTTATGGACTGTAGGAAGGGCTACTGTGCACAGCAGATTAATACTTCTGACACACACATATTTATAAATGTTTTCTTTATCGATCAGTGTATTAGTTTTTAACAGTGTACTTTTATTTTCCACAATCATGAACTTCTTATATCCCTGCTAAAAATTGAATTTCGGTCAGTTTTGTTCAAACAACTGTGGTCCGGTTTGATGTAAGGAGCGGCATGGCCTCTAGGGGCCGCTAGCAGGGGCTTTTAGACTTAAGGCCTTAATAAAATTGATAATTTTAATGTTCTCTCTAAGAGATTTGCTGTCTCTGAAGCTCCAGAATACAAATCTCTTCCTATGAAATGTTTTTAAACTTGTAGCTACATTGTTCATTGAGAAATTTCCTCAAGGATGAGTCACTTCCGGACAGTGTTACACTTTTTTTTTTTTTTTTTCTCTTCCCCTTGTTTGCTCAGAGTGTATTTTTCTAAGGAACAGCAGGGAGTGTCTTAAGTATTGAAATCATTTCCACATAGTCAATGCAGTTATTACCGTTACAGTTTATAAAAACTGGGCCTGAGTGACCACTAATTCGGCACATCAAAAGCAAATTTATGGGGAAAGTAAAGATGTTCTGTAGAGAATCATCAGTGATGCAGATTTGCAGTGTTGCATTTATAGAACAAAGAGTTTTAAATCTATGATTATATATTTCAAAAATATAACGGCCAATATAGATTTTATTTATATACCAAGCAGTTTTTGGTTTTTTGTTCATCTTCTGGCCAGGCAGAAGTATAACTTTTCAAACGCATACTTGTAAAACAGGGTTGAACAAGGGTTAAAAGATGCAAAGTATTTGTATATGTAATTGTTCCTATTTAAATTTAAAAAATCTTAATCATACTTGTATTACAAGACGGTGGATAAGGAATGCATCAGCTAGTGTTTGTTAATGTGGCACAGCAGGTTGGGATAAAGACGCTGTCCAAATATACAAACATTTCTGTTGGTTATTTAAAATTACTGGTTGTCATAAACAGGGAATGTGGATGGTAGCGGCTTCGAGTAAAGATGTTAATATTACACCCAAGATTTTAGACAGGTGTTTGGTTTGTTCAATGACATGAAGGACTGTCCTTTTTTTTTTGCCCACTTCCTACTAAAACATGCTGGAAATATTAAAGCCTGGGCCAAATAGTATTGCTTGGTTTTATGTTAGTTAATGGCAGATGAGTTTGGAAAGGAGAGAAGTGGCAGGAAGTTTAAGACCTGTGATAGTCTATAACTTTATGGCACTTTTCTTCTATTTTCAAACATACATTTGGTGTATTTTCTGACACCTCATCCTTTTTTTTTCATCTCAAGAGAAAAACAGACAAAATAATTACATTTGTTCCAGTTTTAACTTTTGTTGTTTTTGTTGGTATTTCCATCCTTCCCTGGCTCCCTGCCTTATTGTAGGAGGATACTGTTATTTTCCTCTTGCACTTGAAAATATAAAGTCAAGGATGTATATTTTTACTATGCAGGATTTTTACAAAAAAAAAAAAGGATCAGTATTCTGTGGAAAAAATTTCATTTTGTCGTCTTGGGATTTTTTCCCCCACTGCCTTTTTTTTTGTTTTCCCCTCAGTGAGAAACCTGTTGAACTCAAGTGTCCAATGCCTTTAGCTTTTGCAATTTTGTGTACTGGTTTAGTATATATGTGTATATAGATCTGTTTTTATAACCAAACACAGATGGCTTGAGCCATTTTGTACTTAAAGCTGGAGGCCACTTTTCTCATAGGAATTCCTCTGTGGGTTTTGCTAGCCCAGTCAATGTCTTCATACACTGGTACACTTTGTAAGTACAGGTCCGCGCCTTGTGTTCCCTACACTATCTTGTAGTCAAATGTACAAAATTTAGCATTAGAATAATTTTTAACAGTTTGCTACTCACACTTATTTATTTTTCTGCCCCTTTGCTTAATGTTTTTTTTCTATTTTGCCATTTTAAGGAGTACCATTTTATGAAATAGGAAGATGTAAATGTATCGGGGTTGTTCATGATGAGATTTCATTGTAAGTAGTAATTAATATTAATTCTAACTTGAAAGAATCCAGGGTAAGATGAGTTTTTTTTTGACATTCAGTAGGAAGATGTTAACACTTGCATGTTTCTATTTAAATACAAATGTATAAATTGTAAATATAACATTTCTTTAAGGGTGAATTTCTACTACAGGTTGACATTTTTATTGAAATTTAAAAATGCTGTAAATACATTTGTGAGATACTTTATGCACATTTTTTTTTT